GGCCGGCCCAAGCCGAGCAGTTCTGTGCCGGCCGTCAGTCCCGGGGGTTACGTACGCACCCAGTGCAACCTGGCCCCAAGGAGAAGTTGGAAACAAGCGAGGGGCTAGGTTTTTTCAGCTTGGAAATAATGGCTTTAGATCAGGCTGTTGTCAAAGGCAAGATGTTTGTGTGGTTTATATATAAATATATATGTGTTTGCAAGTATATGCATGTGGGTGAATATGTGTATGTACATATACACAGATATCCATATATGGCTACGCACACCTGCATATGTGCATATACATATCATATAGATACAGATATTCATATTTTATATATATGCACATAGATTTTCTTGACCATTTATTTTCATAAACAGGCCTTAAGCTTGCCCTCCCTTTTTCATTCTCTTACTCATATTGGCAAGATACGTGTGTGTGTGTGTGCGCCCATTAAGTCTGTACAGAGAGAGGGGGGGAAGGAGGGAAGTGTGTGTAAAAAAAATAATATATTTATATATATACACACCCAGTCTCAGCTGACTGTAATCCATAGGCCTCCACTCTACACAGAAGCACTTATCTATCAGCAGGTCCCCTTTTATGTATCCTGCATAAATGCTACAGCCATCCATTACAACATGACTAGGTCAGCAGCATTTAGCTCTTCTCTCCCCATGAACAGATGCTAAATTCCTTGCTGCAAAGCAGAACAATGCTGAAGGCACTATGTGGACTGCTTGCAGCCGCCCACTTTCTAACAAATATCTGGACAGAACCACCTCCTCTGTCAAGGTTTTCAGAAAGTGCAGCTCTATGGAGTGCTGGTAATTTAACATGAGCTATAGCTTCAGAGCAGGGATGCCAGGTATCCTACAACAGACAAGCACAGCCCAATTTGGCCTTCTTTCACCTGAGTAAAATCATAAATGTTCCTTCAGAGTGCTCCTGCCCAGAGTGGCAGCAAGCATAACCATTTTATACACATCCACGCGATGCCTTAAGCACTCCTCCCAAATCCCCAATCTCTCCTTTACAACCCCAAAAGCAGCCTTGGGAGAAGCAGTATCTCCTGTACGAAGAAGGAATATCACACAGGGTGGCTCATGTGGAACAAAAGTAGCTGCAAGATGGAGGAGTGAATGAAAGCACCCAAGCGAGGACCTGCAGCATATGCTACAACAGCACATAAAACACACTTTAAAAAAATAAAATCCTACCACCTACTTCCATACTACAAACTTACCGTCTGCTTGTTAAAAGTTTTTAAAGTAACTTTATTTTTCTTACTGAAACATTATGATGGGACTGAATTTCAGACAATGGGGAAATTCAGACTATTAATCACTGAGTTAATCTATTTATTCACCTTGCAAAAATCCTGATCAGGAGAAAGCCTATTAAAAGAATACAGGGATTCAGCTGCCATCTTCCTCACTGAGTAAGCAATCAGAAGATGCCCCTTTGAACCCTGCGTTAATAAAATTCTCATTAAATGCAAACCTGCACAATGTTATCTTAAAGAGGCTCATTAGCTTATAAAAAATTACTTGTCTCAAAATGTGCTTATTTTCTCATAGGTGAGAAGGTGAGTTTTCAAAGCCACAAACTGCTGCAGCTTCTTATTTCAACCCCATCAGCACTGCAGCTATATCTTACAGTCCATCATGTCTCAATTATTTATATAAACCACAGAGACAAATCCACAGATAGAAGTTATAATCACTATTATGGGATAGCACAGCAATAGGGATCATTCATTCCAGTACGGTATGTAAGATTTCAGCCAGATAAGGCTATTATTATTCTGTCATCTTCAAATGTTCGTTTTCTTTAGGTTGGACAGAAATTATGAATCGCCTGTAAAAAGGAGAGGTATGGAGAGAAGGCAGGAAGAGCCTCCCCATCTCTCAGTACTCAAAAAGAACATTCGTGACTGCTCTTTTCACTGGAGTAAGGACTAGAAAAATCAGTAAATCAGCAACAACAAAACCTAGTCAGACTGCCCAGTGGAGAACAGGGTCCAACGAAAAAGTACAGTTGATACCATAATAGGATACACAAAGTGGGATCTCTCTGCAGCTGAGTTTAAACAAGAGTACGTCAAAGATTCCCTAGGTATTACTCATCCTGACTCTGCGTTAAAGCAATTAATCAGATGACCTCGCCAATCCAGCACTGTGGGGCACAAGCAGGCCTGGTTTATGTGTCTCCCCAACAGTCACTCCTGTAACACAAACACATTGCAGCCTTGAAAAGGTATAAACAACTCGCTACTCCTCTCCTGGCAAAAATACACTTAAGATTGTACCCTAGGATTTAAGACACTTGTTAAAGCCCACCACTTGCATGCACGCACATAGATGATTTCACATTTGTAACCTTTCCCACCAAAAGCCTTAGGATAAGGAAATAATAATTTTTAGTTTATTGTTGTAATGAAATGAAGATATAAATCAAAGCGTGACGTTGCACTGCATAGTTACAGCAAAAAACAGGTAATCATTGCTCATAAAAGATCTCCAGAACAATGGAACAAGCTGAGGGAGAAATCCAGTGCAAGGTGGATTTCTCTAAACTCATTGCCTTCATGGCAAAGGCATCCAAATAAGAAACCGTACACTAATACCACTCTGAGGGAAAACCAAAGGGGCATAAGCAAACAGGCAATCCAGACAATGGGGCGCTAAGCCAGGTTCAAACCAGCATGTCCTTATCAATGCATAAGATAATTACATCTTATGAAAATATCATCATTCATTAACATACTGTGTTTCTCTAATAAAGCCATCAACCTGACAGCCCTAAAGGGTTTATTCTCCTCAAGCATCCTCTCTTCCTGTTTCCCTTGGGTGATTTGGGCTTGCAACATCTCCATGACTCTGTGCAACACAGAGCCACAAGCATGTGTGCACAAGGCTCCAGTTTGCACTCCTGGTCCTACACCAGAAGGAAGTATGTGACTCTAGTATTAAGGGTCTTCCTACAGACTTTGCTGCAGAAGTAGGACAGCCAACCAGCCAGGACAGAATGGTCTTTCCCAATAAACTGCAGAAAGCTTCAGACCTTAGAAGACTCGAGGCATACCTCAAAGAATTATCCTCTCATCCTTCTACTGCATGATCTGCAACTTTCAAACACCTAAATTCAGTCTTTAGGCCAAAAAGGAGTATCACATTATCACAAGGCCTTCACCTCATCCATTTTCCCTGTATTGAGACAAGTCTTTTGAAACTTTCTAAAGCATGTTGTTTTAAAAAAAGGCATCTAGTCCTAGTCACTACTTTGACAGTGTGATGTTTCAATCAGCTTCACGAAAGCACAGTACCTTTGGATTTTTCCAGCACCCAACAAATGGCTGCTCTGAAATCTATACAGTTAAGGAACCTTTCAAATGTAATATTTTTACCATGAGAAGAAAACAAGTCAACCCACTCCCTCACTTTTTTTTTTTTAAGAGGAAATGAGATGCGTCAAACAGACTATCTTCTCTGAAGTCTAATCCCTCTATAGGCCTTGAATCATCTCTAATTTAGGCCTTGTCTAATTTCACTGAGTGAAAAAGGAATGAAAGTCATTCATGTAAACTTCTAAAGGCAGTAAAAGACCAAAGTCTAGAAAAAGAGAAAGGTGTCCGAGGTTTCACTGGTTCCAGACAGCACCATGGACTGAACATGTCTGATACAGGCTGTCCAGGAAGGGGTTTCAAGGTGCCCATTTTTCGGTTGTCTCTTGTTTCAGTTGCATGCTGATCTTTACAAAAGCAGCTGTTAAGCCAACAGGAAATGAGCCAGTGCAAAATCTTGGTTGCACAAACCAGAGGTGAGCACAAACCCTCTGCGACCACTTGCCTGTTTTATCTTTTCCCAGTTTAGACTTCTCTCCCTGGGTAGACAGAGAATTCCCAGGGCAGACACTTTGTGTCACATTAAATGACATTAATTTGCCAACAGTTATCTGTTCTGCTGCTTCACTCCGAGTGCATTATCTGCCCACAAGCGTTCATTTGTGTCTGTTTACAAAAAATAAAAATAAGGATAGTAGCACAATAAATCTTCTGGAACCATAAGTGATGTTACTAAGCTTAGAGACTTACTAAGGGAACCTTTAAGGTGGTTTATAGACATGTAAGATGTATATTGACTTGAAAGATGCCCTCAGAGAGTTTGTCCTACACAATTTCTTTTGTAGTGAGGAAAACGACAAGTACTAGCAATGTAGCAGTACTGAGCTACTCAGTGTCACACAGACACCTAGTGCTGGGGTGACCAGAGAGCTGAGGGACAGGTATTTTTTCAGTATATTCATCTTTTATGGTTTGTTTACAAGCCAGAGATAAACAGTAAATGCTTTCTCTCAACTTTCTTCCACTTTCGAATCAATAAGATCCATGAGCCTCTTGCCCAGTACTAACTGCCTCAGAAGCCAGGAAAAGAAATTATTGCTGTCATGAACCAATACAGCACAAAAGCACCCCAGATATTCCTTAGTCTTACAAGTAGAACATAACTTCTGCCCTTGAATTGGAAGAAGAGTTTTAAGAGAATACTAGAATGTCTTTAAATAATCAGTTTTAAACACACACGAAAATCTTGCAGTGTTAAAAGAGGCCTCGAACCTGCTTATTACAGCTGGCTTATAGACTGCTTCACAGAATCGCAATAGAATCACGCAACAGAAATCCATTAGGTCCACAATTGCTCTGCCAGCATAGCATTGCTCCCTACTGTATAACTTCTCCCAAGAACGCTGTGAGGATTAATTCATTACAGCTTGTGCCATGCTTTGAAAGCACTCAGTCTACAGAAGAGCTGAGAGAATTATTAGAAAGAGGACAATCACACCCTGGCGATCCTCTCTTTATCCCAGTGGGCCCTGTTTAGAGCAGCAATTTAGCCCAACAAAGAGAACAAACTCAAAACCAAATTCAATACAACAAATGTGAAAGTGTCACAATAAGAATGCAGTCACACAGGACACAAGAATCTTTAAAGTGCTTCTTAACTGCTACTCCTTACCTAATATTGACTAATGCGTGGGTCACCTTGCTTGCAGGCTCTTTCCATTGACCAGCATTGGTAGAAAGCCTTAGAACTGAAAGAAAAAGACCGTTAACAGTGCTGGCACAGAACTGGCAATTTTCTAATCCAAAATGTCAAAAAAAAAAAAAAAAAATCTGTTTTGGTGAGATGGTAGTCCTGGAACCATATCAAAACAAAGGTCATCTTTGAGACAATCTGGGACCCAGGGCAGAAGTTCCCTTCAAAGCTCATCTAAGAAACGTAAGGAACACGGAAGAGGTGAGCAGAACAAGATAATGACTGGGAGACAGAAAGCAGAGGGGATAGAAAAGCCTAGGTCCTCCTAACTGCTTTCATCACCACATATTAAAATTCATTTCCCCCAGGAACAGGACAGCATCCCAGCCCTATGATACCTTTTATTCTGCTGTTCTCCTCCAGCTCCTATTTATGCAAGGTTCCATCTGAGCTGGACTACATGCTGTGATTTAAACCCAACCCAGTAGTGATGGATTCTTTAACTCCCTGTTCATCTGGAATTGCAGAGAGGGATTCCACATCAGCCTAGGGAAAAATGCTCCCTGTAGGAACAAGGGTGTTGTTCTGTTGCACAGATGGTCTCAGACAGACTTGGGAGCAGATCTGAAAACATTCTGCAATAGGAAGAATTTCCAGGGAATCCAATTCTTTTCTGCCAACGCACCCAAAGTATTTGGGTCAGAATCTGTAGTGTTCCTATAGTGGCAGTTACCCACACACCTCTTGGTAAGTACCAAAACAATAACAGATCCTGTAGCACATTTAAAAATTATTTTTCCATATTGCTTGAAAATAAGGGAATTTTCTATTCATTTGCATATAACAGGGTTTTCTGGGGGTTACATTCCACAGGAAAGGTTCACCTTCGCCTTAGAAGTGGAGGAACAGCACGTCATTTAGGATCATCTAGAAACACGGATGCTACAAGTGAATCCATAAGCACAGTGGCAGCATACTCATGCCTATTATTGCACGAGAGAAACTTTCAGTCCTGAAGATCTGGATAAAGTTCAGATTCAGGACAAGAAAAATAAATAAAACCCAAGGCAACTAGATTCCACCTCCACTCCCAACACAGAAAGTTTCAACCACATTAACTCTGTATCTAAAAGATAAAGTAGCTTTCCCATCTGTGATAACAAATGTCCTGTGGCTAGGGGACAGAAGGGGGACTGTAGTCTCAGGGAGATGGATTGACAAGCCAAGGGAAGCTGTCAGGACACCAGACTAAACTGTGGCTTTCATCAACTTGAGGCAGTGGTACCTTCTCACTTCCTAGCACTACCATTACATGTCATCTGTAGAAAAAAAAAAAAAAGCCTGCTCTGAGTAACATGATTTAGTTAAACAGTCAGTACTGTACTTGAATATCTGAAGTAATGTATTCAGAGAGGGTTTTCCATTCAAGCATCTACAACTAATTCAAAGGGGTTTGCTCTGCATAGCAGGATGGAAAACATTCATGTGACAAATGAATTGTTTCAACAGGTCAGATGTGCCTATTGCAGCCCAACTGAGTAAGTATTTGAGTGTGTTATTCTTCCATTCCACTTTCCTTCAGCTCCCACAGGGGACGGGTTTGAAAAATTACTCGCTGGTAAAAGCACCTCATCTTCCTAGCTGCAATTCTTGGGAGTAGGAAATGGGTTAGCAAAAAATCTTATGTGCTCAGAGGGCACAAAAATGACCAAGTGATCCCTTATATACTGTATGAAAACTAGGAAGTTTGTACAAAAGGGCAGTTCATTTTTGCTTGCAATTGCAGGGAGTATTTGGCTACTTTAGGTGAGGATGGTTCTCTCCCATGTCAGAAGAGTGCCGTGGTCAACCGTCTCTCTCCCACTGCCCTTTGACCCCCTTTAGATGCTTATATTAACTCCTGATGTTCATTGGGTGATCACACTGAGAAGGGAGCAGGGGGTGAAGGGAAGAAAGGTCCTTCTAGACCAAAGCAAACAAAGAACACAGTTATATTCTTTTCTTCACAGCTTCAAGCATGCAGGCAACTCCACCAGCGCTGCTGCAGCTACCTTTGGCTGCAGGCTCCTGTGTATACCCTGTCTGATTATGCCTCCATGCATTCCTTGCTCTCCTTTGTTCCTCTTTTCCCTGCTGGGTGTCACTTGGTGGCATTCCAGCATGCCTCTCTCTCTTTGAAGGATGGCAGCTTCTCCCTGTTTTGCCAGTAGGCACAATCTTCAGTCCAGGGATTCGCTTGTCATTGCAAGCAGGATTGTGAGGGCTGTTTTCTTGGTTTGTTTTGGCAATGAGCGTAGTAGGTGTGATTTGTCTAGCACAGCAAGCTTCTTGTTACAAGTTTCTCAAATTCTTTTCCAAATTCTTGTTTGCATTGAGCATTTCTCTGTGTTGGCTCATTCTGCAGCATGTACCTACCTTCTGACTTGTAACTATCAAATGTGCTTGATGCAAACTACACGAAGATGTATGAAATACCACGCACCCAGTTGTGCCAACAAATTTGTATTTCCAACCACAGTAACTGGCTGCTAGAAGGGCAATGGGTCTGTTCCTGTATTTTTCTGACTAGGAAAAAAAAACATATCCCTTTAAAAAGTTTATTCCTCTCTCAATTCTTAATTTACCAAACATGTCCTAGTACACAAAACAAAACGCACATCAGCAGCAGGTGGACAGAAAACACCTGACACAAACATCCCTCCATCACCACCGCCACTTCCAGTCAATAGCAGCCCTGACCAGTCAGGAGGTACTCACCCATAGAATAAAGGTTGTCAAAATTCTGATGCATCCGAATGATTTCATAATACAGCTCATCATAGCTGCTGGGGGTGGGGAGAAAGGTGTCTCCGTAAGTGATGAACATGTTGAACAGATTCACAACCTATACAAGGAAGTGAAAAGAAGTTACAACAGGAATATTTACACAAAATCTACCCTGCAACAGAAGCAATATAAACTGTGACCAAAACCTTCAAAGAAATAGCTCTCACTTGCATGACACAGTATTACATCATTTCGTTGCTTTATCTATTATTTTCCTTAGAGTACAGGAGAGACAGACAAGAAGCTTAAATGTGATGTATCTGGTGCCAGGAAAACAGTTTTCTATTATTTTGTATACAAAGGGCCAGTGAACAAGAAAAAGCATTGCCAAATCTGGAAAATTAAACGAAGCCTTTCCTCACATAGACTTGTTTATTTGAATGAACAGACCCTACAAGGGAGTTCAACCACTACCCTTTCCAAACATCCAGCAAAACCAACCACAATGATACTCCTCAGCTTTGTGGCCTTGTTCTGATATCTCCTTACCAGGCCAGAAAGCCTGGATTCTTTCCTAAGATTCATTCAAGATTAATTAAGTTGTTTAAAATATGAGGATTTGCTTTGTCTGTACTCACCATAAGAGCAAGGGTGAAGATGTTGTGCTTGGCCAGCAACACAGTCTCATTAGACATGAGGAACTTCAACAAGTTGATCAAAGCTAGGAGAAAACAATATGTATTTTTTAAATAAAATTAAAAGCAAAGCCATTCTCATTAAGTCACTTAAATATAGATGCATTTTCATTATCTAGTAGAAACTAACCTAAATGCCACCTGCTCACCTCTCAGGAATATATCAATTTGCATGTGCGTTAGCTGTTTGGGGGTTTTTTATGGCTAAAATACTGTGCTGGACAGGTAAGTGACAGCTATTTTACTGTCCCACATTTACTCTCCTTCACTGACTTCCCAATCAAATCTGCTCAGGCTCAAGGTAAGTCTCTTGTTAGCTTAGTTAGTTCACAGGAGATTTTCCTATCTGCCAGATCCTGAAGTGAGCCTTGGGCTTGGAGAATCCCACAGTCTCATTTCTGCTTCACACATCACCAACATGATGTCTGTGTAGTCAGCCCCAAACTGTCACCCTTGTTGATACATGCAGTTAAAAAAAAGTAACAAAAAATAACAAAAAAACATGGCATAGTTTTTTTCTGTAGCTCTATGTCAATTCTGCTGCAATGATACAAGGAAGGATATAGTACTTTATTGTGTCAGTTATCTAGGGCTGTGCCGTAAAAACTACAGATCTGGTTCACACTTTTCTTAAGAAAACAACAAAAGCTTCTGCTGTAACCACCCAAAATCAGTTTGCAATAGTGGGAATTAACAAAAAGGTTGGCTAAAAGAGCTTTAATCAAACAGACTTTACAATAAACAATTGTATTCCATACACTTGAATAAAATGAAAAGTTCTTTATCTTGTTGTTTCTAGTTCTTGAAAATTTAAAAAAAGAAAGCTATTTTCTTCTTCTGCATTATAGCTGCTCAGAGCTGAAAGCTGATGCCTGTCTAGAACGGATTCTTAATATATTCTCTGCTCTGAAGTTAGCAGATTTCAAGACTTAAAACATCTGAATTAGATGGCCTGCAAAGTCAAGCTGGAATGCCATACAGACTTTTTAAAAAAGTTCTTAATTACCTACTAATTGATAACTGCATCTAGCAGAGTAATGCCAGGCATTGCTGTGATTTGTTACAGGTTCACCTAGAATTTATTTATCTGTTATTCCCTGTTACACAGTACCCAGTAACCTGCAAGAAAACCAACTCTAGTTTGGGAGAACCCCATTGCAAATACATAACAGACCATTCATCTCAGCCCAAAGGTACAGGCTACAAAACAGTAGATAAAACAGAGGGAACCCGAACGAGGTAAGGGCAAAATTTAGATACCCTTCCCCTCTTCAGGATTACAGAGTATTCAGTAAAGGTAAAACCAAAAAACCTACAGTAAAAAGACAGATGCAAAGAGACTGGTAATATCTCGAATTAAATAAAATTGTCAGATTCTGAATACAGTCCTGCAACCACTATCTTCTGATAGTAAAAGTTCATGAGGAGGATCAAAACTTTATATATATACCCCCCCAAAATGGGAAGCCTACAGTCCTAGTGAGGGCATTTATTCATCACAGACAGAAGCTACTTCAGTTTAATCTACCAGCTGGTGGCTTGATGCTGAACTGCAAATGAGAACAAAGTTCTCTGCAAACTCCAGACATGCAAGTGATTTATCTTTCAGAGCTACTCCAGGATTTAACAATCGGCAGCAGCACCTCTCCCTTCCATGACAGCAGCACACCTCACAAAGCAGATATACTGATACCTTTTCAATCCAGCCACAGAAGTCCCCACACCATCATCAGACTCAAACACCTGGGACCAAAACCAGAGTCTGGTTTCCACAATAATCCAGCTCTGGAAATACTCCTGTCAGATATTTTTCTGTGAAACAGCCCTTTCAAAACAAAGAAGTAGCAGGTACAGATGGGCTCTCCACCAGAGCAGATATCCAGCTAAAAACAGGTTTCCAAGGTAACCGAGCCTCCACAGCAAAAAAAGTAGCATCTCCCGCAGCCAGTGCTTTGGACTGAAGACAGCTGCCCTGCATTTCTGTCACAGCAGCCTACTGGCCTTCTCTCCATTTAATAGATCTAAGTGTGATTTTACCTCTTTCTGGCCACACAAGTCCACATAGTCACATCTTGAGAGCAGGCGCTGCTGTTCAACTACTAGCAGGGGGAGCTTCTGAAAGCAGAGTAGCAGAGCTTTGGATTTTCTATCACAAGTGGTGCGAAGCCCCTTATTCATCCTGTTGCCTCTCACTCTCCCACCAGAATCTTGCTGAAAGGCCTTTGGCCAAGGGTGGTTGCACAGCATGAGGAGATGCCACTGAACACTAAACACAGTGAAAGCTGTCCGTGGTGGGGAGACACTATCTTTTGGAGAGTGAGAGCAACCATCATTATCTAGAGCATGAGCACTCACCGACTGACAGAGGCAAGTACTCCACAATCGCCCACTGCAGTACTTCTCAGATACCTCCCTGAAGCACTTGTGCTGCTCTGTATTGGTGACAACACTTGAAGGAGAACTGTTGCTCTGTTCTACCCCAACAACAGCTCCTACGTTTGTTCCAGCCATTGTGATGAATTTGCTCATGTTTAATTTTCCTGTTCCAGTTAGAAAGAAGACAAGAGATTACCGCTGCTTGAAATCAATCTTTATACCTGAATTGCACTGCATCATAGCCCACTCACAGCTGATCTATTCTGTTCCTTCCCTACGAACTAGAAAGGAGAGGGACGTGCGTCAAATGAAGAAGAAACTCAGTGCTCGGCTCAGAGCTGGTCAGAAGAGCTAATCCACCAGGTTTACAGTCCCTGTGTGCACTGCATGAACAAATTTATCCAACTGTTTGGAAATCACACATTCATAAAGAAGTTGCAGTGCTCCTAATTAAGATATACACTACATCGATGCTCAAAGAGCAACCGATCTTTTTCCACACTAGCACATTCTGCACCAGCCTCTGCTCAAGTGGCTCTAAGGAACAGGAACACTGCGGAAAACAAGCCCTTAAATCTATGGCTACTTGTGTTTCCGTAGATTGCTTGTAAGGCAGACCCCACACTGAAAATGAGGACAGCTATGCCCTGGAGTTTTCAGGATTAACAACTTTTAGACCCAGCTTCATATGCCCAGTGCCCTTCAGTGACAATTACACACATGAAATAAACCCTTAGAGCAAAGGTCCAACTGGCTGAACGCCCCTCTGCCCTTGAGCTCCAACTGCTGCTGCTACTCCTGAGCAACCTGAAGCCAAACCAGATGTGTCACTTTTTCCCTGCTGCAATCAACTCTTCCCCTCTCACAGCCCATCTGCAGGCTGCCCTCTCACACTAGCCAGGAAATTATCCATGTTTGTTCCCAATGGAGGAGCAGTTCAATCTCTCAGCCGTGCAGGCAGACAGAACTGTGGCCTTTGCCTGGGCTCAGCCACATTATCCCAATTTGTGCTCCAGGATTTAACGGTGATGGATGGTTTGGGCATGAGATCTATTTCAACATTAACTGGAAAACAGCATCATTTTTGTAATAGCCCCCAGAGCCTTTTTTTCTAAAGATACCGGTCTTTGACATCCCTTACCAGGACACAATACACCTCCTACGGTAAGTCTCAAAGCATCCATAATTTCACAATTCAATAGTGCCACTAGAACTTCTTTAGCAACGAAAGCAGGAGGCTGTAACTAAACTAAACTAGCAGCCATCAGTATTTGCATGCCAGCTCCCCATTTTGTGACCTGAGCACACTGGCTATGCTTCTTAAATCAGCAAGAAGACAACACGGCCTTGAACACCTGCATTTAAAGCCTCAAAAGCAAGTAGAAAAGCATGTTGAGTGGACCCTTAAATTGGACATGAAGCCATATGATTGGCTGTATGTGTAAGTGGTGTAAAGCATCCAGATTGGTTCTTAGGTAATTTTCTCTCCCACGGATTATTATAGCCAAAGTCTGAAAAGTGACATCACCAGCTTTTACAGATACCCTCCCTGCTTTTTAAACTGAAACGACTGGAGTGAAAGAGGCTCTTAGCTCTTCTGCCACACAGCTGCTTTTGCAGTCGGACACTTTCCCTTATCAGCTCTTGTGGCGAGTCTGTCTGCCAAGGAGCAAGAGCACTCCTACTCAGTTATTTGCTGCCCTTCTTCAAGCCAATCCTCTGTAAGATGACTGTGGGCAGCCAGCATCTCCTTTTCTACCAGGAAGGAGGTAATTCCTGTGATGGACAGATGCCCTTCACTCCCTCCTTCCCCTATTCCTCCTCCCAAGGCAGACTTACCTTCTCTCCCTGTAGCCTCGTTTCAAACAGAAGTATATTCAGCCCCAGCACATTTGGGATTCACATAAAGTTTTTGTTCTATTTAGCACCTCAGTGTTCAGTGTTTAGATCACATGTAATGCAAGAGGAGCGTGGAGGCAGGTTAAGTAGAGAAAAGGGGAAAAAAAAAAAAGGAAGTAGTACCATCCCTTGGGCAAATCAGAATGTAGCACAGACTCTGCCAAGAGCATCAGAAGCCTCTGATGTGTTATTGCACAACAGCGCGGAAGAGAACAGCCCTGAGACACACATCAGTGAGAGCTTAGATGGGTTGAGCACGGTATGGAGGCCTCTGTCACCGCATCTGCTGCGCTCACAGGTCGAAAATCTTCTAATGGTGCATATAATGGCCCTCAATAAAGGGGCAAGGGAGAAAAAGAGATGTGAGGGCTCCTCAGAAGCTGCAGTGTAACATCAATTAACAGGATCCTGTAGTCTATTAAAATCCTCCAATTTTCTGCCCTTCAAAACTCAGGGCACACTGGGAAGAACAGTGATTTTCCCATTCCCTCTGGAAGTTACCGTTGTACCAAGAGCATATTCAGTGTCCTGCTCTCTGTGTTTCAACCCACAGCCCCCTTCAGATGATGCCCACCCACATGTCACTACAGGGCAGCTGATAATGACATCTGGGCAATACTTCCTTGCTGTAGAGAAATCCTCTTCCTCTGAGTGCTTCAGCAGCACAGTAACCGTCCTGGACCTCTTACAGCCAGCCTGTTCACATACACATACTCTCAAGGCAAGGTCCATACTACTCATAGTAGTACAT